TGTTAAGTGGAAGCCTGAGACATGCAAAGTATGTGGGGAGAATATTCCAGACAGAAGAAAAGGCCTGTGGGCAGGCCCTGTGGGAAAAGAGCCTGGGAACCTCCTAGAACTGAATTGTCAGGGGGGCGGGGAGTGTGAAACACAAAGGAAAGAAGGGAGTGGGAGGATGCACAAGACCCCAGGGAGTGGGTCTGGGACTTTCAAAAGCCTTAGGCTTCTTTCAGTCGGGCCTGCTATGTGACACTATTACTAGGGAGGTATGAACACATCTAGTAACCCCAGACAGGGAGCCAATGAAAGCAGACCAAAGTGTGGATACCACCCTAGTCTAACTTGGTGAACCGATGAGTTTTATTGTGGTTACTTATAGAAATGTGGGCCGGAGATTGCTTACAGGAGCAAGAATGACTCCATGACAACTCCACCACAAAAGCCCACACAGCAGGACACTGAATGTTCACAAAAGCACAAGATGCCGTGCACAGCAAGTTGGATGGGGTGAGTGTTTTGTAGGTAGCTCTGCTGAGTTCTGCTTCTTTCAGGCTTCTAGGATGCTCAGAGAATCTTCCAGCAGCTGAGCTCCTCTGACAGTGTCTCTGAAATCTTCACAGCTTATGTATGCTTGTGGAGAGAGGGGCCCAGTGAATCTGGTCAGTTTCACAGACTTCCTGAAGCTATTTTGAGCTGTTGACTTCCTGTTTTAATGAGTTTCCCTGCAGGATGGAGTGTTGCACATCCCCTTAGAACATCCTATTGTTTCACCTCCCTGTAAACATCTTAATGAGCTTTCCCTCCACGATGGAAGGTTTTAAGCTTGGAGGGAAGTGCAACACAGCCGGTGAACTTGAAAGAACCTGGCTGCCATAGAACATAGGCCATCAGACTTGACAATGGTCATCCTGGTGCCCAACCCTGACCCACTCTGCTAGATCAGTTCACATAAGCACACTGGAGAATGTGCCTCAGTACCCTTCCCCTAAGAGTAAGGGCAGCAAATATCAGCCCAATATGAGTGCCCTGGCAGCAACTACCATCTGGACCGGAATGAGGGCCCAGCCTGGCAAGGCCCTGGCAAGATGCAGAGTGTAAATCTCTGTACACCCTACTGTAAGGGACCTCCACTCCCTTCTCTAGAGGGAAAGACTACAGCTCACTGACTTCAGCTCCCCCTGAGCCTGCACAGAGCAGATAACCAGTAGTTAACAGACGTTCATGTGAGAGGGACTAAAGAAAGCCCCTACATCCTGTCCAACTGAGGGACACCACGACAAAAAAAGAGGAAGGAAATTTTGATGAAGAGTCCATGTTTGTTTCACTTCGACACATTTTCACTGTGTAACCTAGGGCAGCTGACAACCTCCCTGGTCTTTGTGCCCTTATCTATAAAGGGAGGGGGATGGATGAGATGATCTCCTAGACAACTCCATCTTTCTCCTCTATTGCTCAGGGCAGGCAGAGGGGAGGTCGCTGCCTTTATCAAGTCACTTGGCACAGCATGTGTGTGGCAGGGCTAGGATCTGTGCTGACTTCAGGAGGTGACAGTGCATTCTATCCTCAGCCCAAGGGCTAAATGGTGGAGGAAAAAGAAGTTAATTGGGGCAACTGGGATGTGCAATAATTAGACACTAAACTGGAATTTACTTGTACCAACAAATCTCGCCATGTGGATAGGCCAAGTATAAGTATGGGCAGTATTGGAGACTTGGTGTTTATAGAGTGTCTACACAAATTAAGGAAAAGAAGGGAGAGCTTTGTTGAAACACCCCAGAAGCTATTCCTGACATATTCAACCCCTTGCTATGGATGTGCTTATTGTAACATACTCTGCTCCTTATGGTGATCTTACAAACATCTCTCCAGGGGACAGGTTCATTAGCAGAGTCAAATCACCATGTGCAACAGTGACGAGAAAGTTCAGTTCTTAGAGAAACTGTTTGCTTTGGACTGTGTCATTCCAGCTGTTCTCTCCCACCATGAAGCCGAGAGACCAACTTGGTCCTCCTGAAACAGAACAGCTAGCCAGCGATTTAGAGCTCTTCTGTATAATGGAGAAGATGCAGACCCTGCTGTTCTACTAGGCCTTCTTTGCAGATGCTAAAGGCAGACAGTATGCCCTAAGTTTGTACAACCACTCTGTTCCTTGCACACTGTAGGAACACACACACATGAATAATGACTGACTGATTAAAAACAAGCAAAGTAGAGAAGAGAGGAAGGTGCTTCCTCTGGGAGATGACAAATGGCCCAGACTCTTGTGTTCCTTCTGGGACAGCACACCCAGGGAGAGACATAGATTTGAATTCCAGCTTCTCTTGTTACTAGTGAGACTCTAATTGGCCCTTGGCTTCCATCTCTGCGCAATGGGAGCTGCACTACCCACCCATGGTCATGGCTGTGAAGGCCAAATGCAGTAACGAGTCAAAGTCCAACGCAGTGACAGACACATGGTGACCTTTGTCTTCCTTTCATGAGGTCCTTAAGAGTTACACAAGAAAGGCAGTCCCTAGGCACTTACTGTCAACCTGGCCCTGACTGAATGGTAGGGAGCCAGAGGGCAGTGGCCTACACCCAGATCTCAACGGCTGCAGGAATCAAATCCAGTCAGCATGGCTTTCTTCCAGTCAATCTTGCCAGATGTATTTGGCTTCAGCTTGAGGTTGCAAAGTGGTTATATAACACAAAAAAAAAGGAAGGAAGGAAAAAGAAAAAAATACTAGCATTTACAGAAAGCTCATAGTTTTTAGAGCATTTCTGTATGAATTATCACATCTGATCTTCTCAGTGACCTTGAGAAGCAGCAGAGGCCTGGACTAGAACTCCCATTTTACAGACAGAGGAACCATGGCTTAAAGGGTTTATTTGGTTCATTCAATACCAAAACACTGAGGGACAATGTGAAAACTTGGACAAAGATCTCTTAACCCTTGCCCTGGACTTTTTCCACATGACATTTTTATGATCATGCTTTCATCAGGCAAAAATAGAGCAAGCTCGTGTTGTGTGCCAGCTAAGTGCTCAGATTCAGAAGGGTAAGGCAGAGCCAAGTTCAGGAGAGGTGCATTCAGTATGATGGGGGCTATGGGAAAGACACAAGTAGAGGCAAGACAGAAGGGTCACCCAGCCTAGAAGACTTCCTCACTGGTCCAGCCTTGGAGACACTGAGTGGTTGTCCAGGCAGAGAAGGATGAGCAGCATTACAGGTTGCAGGAGCAGCAAATAGAAAGCCAGAAGCAGGTGGGCCAGCAGGGTATACTCCAGTGCTACAGGTTTATTGGTCTAACTACCACTACTCTCTCCTCCATCCACTTATTCAACATATATCTATGTTGTTTGTGTGCCAGACACTATGTGAGCTACTGGGGGAAGATGCATGAGCGTGCGAGCAGATGTAGTCCCTGAGACCAAGAACTTGACCATCTCATGATACCTACAGACTCAGGTAGGCAGGAAGAGGGCAGGAAGTGGCAGGTGTGCGAAGAGCGCATCATAGAAGGCCAGGTTAAGAGGTTGTAGATTTTAACCTGAAGGAGATGACCCACCTTGATAGATTTTCAGCACAGGATCAACATAATAAGGTTTCAATTTCAGAAGGATAAGCTTATAGGGTGGCTATAGAGAGTTGTCTGGAATTCCGTGAGCCACCCAGCTAGGAAACAGAACAACAGTGACAAGAAAAGACTGAGTCCAAAAGCCCAGCAGGATAAAGAGAACAGCTAAACTCAAGGAAGGTATGGGTAAGGCCACTGACAAACCTTGCTGGCTGCTTATGTATGGGATGAGGTAATGAAAGACTGGATAATGAGACTGGGGCATCTAGTGTGAGCCCCTTGGCAAGTAGATGCTATTCCCTTGATGGGGGATGTCCTTCTGTATATATGTTTCTCTTATTGGTCAATGAATAAAACACTATTTGGTCAATAGAGGAAGGAAGATAGGTGAGACTAGGAGACAAGAAGAATTCTGGGAAAGGTAGGCAGAGAGGCACACGAGGAGATGCCACATAGAGACTGGGAAGATAGGGCTCACTATGCATTCTCCTGTAAGGTAAGGCCATGTAGAAATACATAGATTAATAGTTATGGGTTAATAATTAAGACAGAGCTAGCCAATAAGAAGCCCTAGGCATCAGTCAACAGTTTTATAATTAATATAGCATCTCTCTGTGTTCATTTGGGGCTAAAGCAGTTGTGAGACCTGGTGGGAAGGAAAACTCCAGTAACATTCCCCATCATGCGAATTCTGGGAACTGTTGGTTGAGGTGATATGTGGCTTATCCTGGGGAGAGGCAAACAAATGACTATTCACTCAGCTGTGGCACTGAAGACAAAGAAAAGTTCCACCCAAGTGTAACCTAGTGAACCAGTTTGCCTTGTGACTCTTGTGAGCTGCAGAAACTTCTTACAATTTGTGAGTTTTGTTTACTTCCTATGCCTTGAAAGTTTCATTACTTCCTGACTCATAATGTACCTCTCTCAAGTCTTCAGGGAGGAAAAAAATGTTTCTGATGCAGAAAAAAAAGAACAACATATGTAGAATATTGGAGCAAGTCCTGAGCCTTCTAGGACAGGCTGAGTGCAGGGCATCTGTGGGACATCTGGAAGGTGTTTATCAGAAGTGGTATCATTGTATTTATCGCCCAAGAAGGAGCCGAAAGCTCGGGGTGTGCGTTAGAGGATCAAGAGTTTCAAGATGATGTTTATTGCTTGGATGTGGGTGGCTTTTTAAAGGGGGAGTAGTACTCAGAAGGAGCGGAGATCAGATACAATTCAGCAAGCCCCAGGGGGGGCCCGATATTTCTTCTTTGTTACCAAAATCCTGCTTAGCAAACATCCAGCCATCAGACAATATAAGGAATCATTGGAGAAATCTTTGGTACAAGGGGGTCAAGGTTAATGGGCTGTAGGGACTCTGGCCTGCTGTGGGGTTTCTAGGGTCTGTCCCATCCCTGGAGCTCAATCTGATGTCACCATGTGCTTTTCTCTCTTTCTTCTCTCCTTCAGGTGTTTACAAAATATGGGAAGTGTTACATGTTTAACTCAGGCGAGGATGGCAAGCCTCTGCTCACCACAGTCAAGGGGGGGACGGGCAACGGGCTGGAGATCATGCTGGACATTCAGCAAGATGAGTACCTGCCCATCTGGGGAGAGACAGGTGAGCTGGGCCCAGAGACTCTGGCACCGGGTGGTGGTAAGGGATGCAGGTTTCCCTCAGAAAGGCTGGTGTGAGCCAGGTGGGCTGATCTCAAGCAAGGGCTTAGGTACATATTGACAGGTGGTGAGACTGTCCCTGGTATGGTTATGCCCCTGGTTCCCTCAGATTCCTCCAGGTTAAGGGATAAAGGATGTGAGTGCTAGGGAGGGAGAGGAGGCAAGGAGAGGAAGTACAGAAGAAGGTTCAAAGGGACTGATATGGTTGGGTGGGTGAGTGGCTTGATTTGGGGAGAAGAGAGTGGAATAGAACATGTTCCCCTCTGAGCCATCCCAAATACCAGATCTATCCATAAAGCCCAACTAAAAGGATATCAGGATATGCCTGGGGACAAGTGGAGGAGGCTATGAGGTTTTGGAAAATCAATGAACATGGACCTGGAGACATAGCACCATGCCCATGTAAGACCCTGGAGTTCTGAGTGTGCCTACCTCAAGCATTCATTCTTTTTATTCTGTGATTTATTAATAGAAATCAAAGTAAGAATGTTATGGTATATCTTAGGGTTTCTATTGCTATGAAGAGACACAATGACCACAGCAACTCTTATTAAAGGAAAACATTTAATTGGGAATGGTTTACAGTTCAGAGGTTAGTCCATTGTCTTCATAGTAGGAAGCGTGGCAGTGTACAGGCAGACATGGTGCTGGAGAGGTACCTGAGAGTTCTGCATCTGAATTGGTAGGCAACAAGAAAAGCAAGTGAACCTAGCATGAACTTCTGAAACCTCCAGGTCTACCTCCAGTGAAACACTTTCTCCAAAAAGGCCACATCTAATCCAAAAGGCCACACTTCCTAATAGTGTCACTCCCTATTGGTCTATGGGGGCCATTTTCATTCAAACCAACACATGGTGGGGGTGGGAGGAGACTAAGTCATTGATCACAACCTAATAAAAGAAAGAAATGCACTCTGGTAGAAGTGGAGACACAGAAAAAGGCCCTAGATACATGGGGTGTTTTTGAATAGAGCCTTGAGATTGTCCTGAATTATCTAGGTGAGAGTAATGTCATCAAAAAGGTGTCTATAGGAAGGTCAGGAAGAGGAAAAGGCAATGTGATATAGCCATAAGCAAAAGAATTCAGAAAGTTTCTAGAATTTCACCAGAAAGAGACTATCAAGATGTGTCCAAGATTAACAGCCAGAGATGTGAATAGGATACATTAGTAGTAATGTTGTGCACAAGCACAGCAGGGAGTATCTTAGTCAGTGTTCTATTGCTGTGAAGAGACACCATGGCCATGGCAACTCTCATAAAAGAAAGCATTTAGTTGGGGCTGGCTTACACTTCCAGAGGTTTAGTCCATTGACATCATGGTGAGAAACATAGCAGCATGCAATCAGACAAGTGCTGGAAAAGTAGCTGAGAGTTCTGCATCCTGGGTCTTCAGGCAGCAGGAAGAGAGCAAGAGAGCCTCTGGGCCTACCTCTTGCCTCTCAAACCTCAAAGTCCACCCTCAGTTGCATGCTTCTTCCAATAAGACCACATCTAGCCCAACAAGACCACACCTTCTAATTATTTCACTTGGTGACCAAGCATTCAAATATATGAGTATATGGGGTCATTCTTATTTCAAACCACCACATTCTACTCTCTTGCTCTATAGGCTTGTAGCCATATCATAATGCAAAAAAAAATACATTCAGTCCAACTTCAAAAGTCCTCATGGCCTATCACAGTCTCAACACTGTTTCAAATTCCAGAGTTCAAAGTCTCTTCTGAGACTCAAGCAAACCTCTTACTGTAGCCCCTATAAAATCAAAATCAAAAAGAAGATCACATACTTCCAACATACAATGGTGCAGGATATATATTACCATTCCAAAAGGGAGGAAAGAGAGCAAAGTGAGAAGGAAATACTGGACCAAAGGAAATCTGAAAAACAGTTGGGCAAACTCCAAACTGTGCATCTCCATGTCTGATGTCAAAGGGCTCTTCAGATCTCCAACTCCTTTCAGCTTTGTTGACTGAAACACACTTTTCTCTCTTGGGTTGGTTCCACATCTAATCTGTAGCTCTTTGCAAGTATCCCATGCCTCTAGCATCTCCAGCATCTTGGGGTCTCCAACACAATTGAGGATTCACCTTGGGGTCTCTAACACTATTCAGGCTTCACCTTCACAGCTTCATGCAATGACCTCTCTAGACCTCCATTCAGGAATACCCCTGCCACATACCTGGCCTCAGCGCAGCTTTCTTTAGCCATGGATAGAGATTCCATAACATCTTTCTTCTATCCTTGACTCAAAAGACAGAACTGTGTGGCTAAAGCTGCCAAGTTCTGTTTCTTTGCTGGAGGTTTGAATTTGGTCCACTCATTCAAATACATTTTCATACGTTTTCTGTTTTCTGTCGTTTCCTTCACTGCTTAAGCTTTTCTTCAATTCCTTTTCACAAGTTAGAAGCTTAGTTAGGTGGGGTCTTTCCCTGGGGTCACCACTCCCTTTATTCAATTTAGCATCAGGCTCTTATTTAAGCTTTTTAATCTCTTTGATAACAGGACTTGACTCCATCACACTTCATGGTGCTTCTTTTCCCCTCAAACTGTACATTTTATATATTTTTCCTTTCTCATCTTGCGCCTTTTCATTATAGATTTGCATAATAGTGGCCACTAATAACTACATGACACAGTTAATAGTAGGCTGTCTTGAAATCTCCTCTGCCAACACCATTAATCAAAAATTCTTCAATTTTGCCTCAGGCAGATTTTCTGGACAAGGTCAAAAAGCAGCCACATTCCTTGCCTAAATATTACAGTAATAGTCTCTGGGCCACTTCCTTATATTATCCCCCACTGAAACTTCTTGAGTTTGGTCCCCATAGTTCAAATTGCCCTCAGCATTGTCTTCTATGTTCCTAGTAGTATGGCCCATTAAGCCCCACTTAAAATTGCTTTCCTAATCCAAAGTCCTAAAATCCATATTTCACCAACAAACAGCATGGTCAAGCCTATCACAACAATGCCCCCACTCCCCAGTATTAGCTTCTTTCTTAGTCATTGTTCTATTGATGTGAAGAGACACCATGACCATAGCAACTCTTATCAAAGAAAGCATTTAATTGGGACTGGCATACAGTTTCACAAGTTTAGTCCATTATCAACATAGCTGGAAGCATAACATCATGCAGGTAGACATGGTGCTGAAGAAGGAGCTGAGAGTTGCACATCTGGATCAGCAGGCAGCAGGAAGAGAGAGCCACTGGGTCTCACTTCAGCTTCTGAAACCTCAAAGCCCACCCCTAGTGGCACACTTCTTCCAACAAGCCCACAACTTCTAATCCTTCTAAGTAGTACCACTCCCTGATGACTAAGCATTCAAACATATGAGCCTATGGGAGCCATTCTTATTCAAACCATCACAGGGAGGATTGCTGAGAGAGTGGAGGGACCAGTGGAGAAGAGGGAGTATACAGTAAATCCAGCAGAAGGGAGAAGCTGAGCCTTCAGACTGGAGCTGAGGAAGAGAGAGAAGCCGGAAAGCCCTGACTCTGTATTTTGCTGCCCCACCCTATGCTTACTCTCCCTGAAGAAGAGCCTGAGGTCTGGCTTCTCCATGACCCTGCCTTATAGCTGCCAAGGCAGGAGGCTTTGTACCCTGAAGATGACCAGCTACAATGACAATCATTCTCCTACAGCAGAACTGTGTCTTTCTCCCTAACATCTTTCAGCTGAGTACCCAGATGGAGACAGGTGACCGTGACCATTGACCCCCACATGATGGGTATCTCTCAGTTGCTTCAGCTGAGAAGTAAAATCTCCCAATCCCATTTACAGCAGGATAAAAGTCTGTGTTCCCACTTAGCTCTGGTATCCCTGAGAGCTGGTCATCTAGACAGGGCTTTTCAGAGGTCCATGAGCAACAGTACTACTACAACCACCAGAAACAGCCTTCCTAACCTACCAAGAAACATGGCCACACAGATGCCATCTTTATTCCATTGAATGTCTTACGTCTCAATTCCTGAAGGAAGGATCCCAGGCCCCTATGGGACATATTTGGGTGAGGATGGAGGAGAAAAGAAATATGGCTGATGAAGGAGTGGCCACAGATGACTTGATGACCCAGGCAGTGTAGTAGAACAGAGAAAATAGCATAACAGAGTGATGCAGACCCAAGGTCAAATCTAGCTCTTCCATTTCTAGCTATGTGTTTGGAACAAGTAGAGGAACTTGGGTTTCCTTGTCTGTAAAGCAGAGGTGAGTAAGAACTGAAATTCATTGGCTGTTTAAGATGGCTGAGGGGAGCACTCCTCACACCCCACAGGAAAGAGCAAATCTAGAGGTCTCACAACTTCACAGGGCCCTCCTCCTGAAAGGGAATCTTTGAGACTCTAGTCTTGTGGACAGCTTCACCCTCAGAAAGTGAAAGAAGCAAAGACGAGCAAGGGCCCTCCTCTGGATGCGCTGCCAGCTATGGGAGGACACTAGTTTGACAGACCACTGCGGTATCATGCTTAGTAAATAGAAGGTAACTCCATGAAAACGATCACAAATGCCCTTCTACCAGGCCGCTAATGACCCACATTAAGAAGCCCCAGGCATCAAACACCTCTAAGTGGAGCACCCTGGCAATCTCCCATTTTGATGTTGCATGTGAACCTAGATAGGGTGCCGCAAAGTGGGTCTTGTGGAGCATTAGAAGTTTTTGGAACTTGATATGTTCCACAAATAAAAAGGATCTGGGGTCAGAAAAAGATTCTAGGGAGCCCTGGTTAGACCGCGTAATACACCTTTATTCATTGCAGGAATTCTTTAATATTCTACATCATGAATCTCCAAGACAGATATATTGTACACAGCATTTATTTTCTAAATGCCTTTGGCCATGGAAACCTCCTTTTCCATAAAGGAGCTCACAAAATATACTTCTGGAGAAAGCCATCCTAGACCAGAGAAGTACAGATTTCACGGCCAGAGTTTTCTAACGGAAATTAAATT